ATGAACCAACCTCCATCTGAAGAGGAAATCAGGATGAGCTGTTGGGAGTGGATAGGACACATATTGAGAAAATCATCAGACTGGATCACGAGGCAAGCGTTAAATTGGAATCCTGATGGGAAACGAAAAAGTGGAAGACTGAAGAACACACTGTGTCGGGAATTCGAAGCTGACATGAAAAGGATGAAAAACAACTATAAACAACTTGAAATGATTGATAAGGACAGGGTTGAATGGAGAATGCTGGCAAGTGGCCTATTCTCCTCCCTGAGGGTAACAGTCGTATGTAAGTAAATAGACATCTGTTTTTAGTAAACGATGGCAAGAAGATATTTTAAACATCCTAAGCGCTATACAAAAGCATTCTATATTACTTTCTGTAAATGATGGAAGACAGAAATCATTTATTTTTAAATTCAGCCCAAAAATACCAACTTGTTTACTCAATTCCATTTTGCTACTTTTTTATATTACACTTTTATCATAGTGGACCTTTATAATTTTAAAGACACAGTAATTTATTACCTTATTTCCATGTATTCAAATATATTCATAGTAGCAGCTATTGAGAACTTTTCAACTTTGACGTGATTCATTTTTATTTTATTTTAAATATACTCATTAAAACCATACTTTGAAAACGAAATAATCTCACTCAGTATAATGATTCTTCAATTTTAGTTCACTGACAGCTAGTTTGTTCTTTGTTAGATGTGAAGTAAGACTTACTAATATTTTTTTCCGATGACACCTAAAAAAATTAATGAACCTAACTGTTATGAAACTAAACAATCATTATAAGATAGTATGAGAGCAGATTTACATGGAACGCTTGGTATTGAAACAGATTATTACTGACACACATATACTTTTTTTGATGAAACACTACTTTCTAGTTTGATGACGAAACAGTATGTTCTTTTAAGTGTGAGAGTTTGATTTATTTGAAATAATTTAGATTATCATGATTACAACCAATTAGTATTAAGTTATTGTGTTCACTACAGATCAAGTGTAAGATAGATTTTTTTCCTTTTAAAGGGGTATGCACACATTTTTTGGCATTGTAAAAAGGAAATTACACTGTTAAGTTTTTCTAGATATTGATGATATCCAAATTGATAAAAAGCATTTAAAAACTATATTAGATTAAATCCTTTTGAATATTTTGTCTTCTCCTTACTTCAATTAATTTTATAAGATTATGTAGGCTTCTCTTAAGTGATTGGAGATAGTCAACAAGATACCCTGTTTAACATAGGTTTTGTGGTATTTGACAATCGTCAGCAAGATTTGCTCTCTGTCTTCAGCAAACTGGTGCACTCTGTTGAATTTAAGCCGATGTTTATCATGTTAATATTCTGAGACTATCACTCAGCCATTCGGCCTTCAACCAATTTCTTGTCTGATTGAGATCTTTTTCAATTGATTGATTCACATATATTAATGGAATTCGATGAACGTTAACGGTGTAAATAAACATGACATTGGTCATTAATCAATGATCGATCAATTTTATGTTATAGAAAACAAATGGTTACGAGATCCATTTCATGAACCAACTAAAGGTTAAACATCTTCATGGAATATTCAACACTGAAGAATATTCGAACGAACAATTATTTTCAATAACTTCATCATCAGGCTCTACAGTTATAAGTCCATAATTATGATATCTTACATACCTTATTTAAGCCTTTGTAAAACATCATAACTATGGACTTATAACTGTAGAGCCCGATGCTGAAGTTATTGAAAACAATTGTTCCATCGAATATTCTTCATTTTTAAAGTTTAAATCTAAATTAATTATTAATCATTTACTAATTACAAATAACTTAGAGAATAACGCACAAAACTTATCGGAACTGTAGTTTTTTATAATATTTTTTTTGTCCATTTAGGTCGTATGTACTTTTATTGTATACGTTAGGTCAAATGTCCGATGATCCTTATTTTTTTTAAACAAGGAATTATTTTGTTAGAAAATTTAATTTTGCGAATTGATTAGAAATTTATATTGATAATAAAACACCAATAACTACTGTTGTGATAAGAGTTAACAACTAAATATTTTCACGTTATAAACTGATCTTATTTCGACAACTATTGAAAACCTGGAAGCACTTGATCAGTACTCATCGACAACCCCATAGGAGATCGAATTCAATATATTAAGGTGTTTAGGCAAGCACGATGCTAAATACCGGGAAACTTGAATGGAAACATTTTAATTATTGTCATACATTCGTCATTTAGTATCCCTTAACAACATAAAGTCGGAGGCAATTGCATCGGAACTCATTTATTCATTATTGTGATCTATTAAGAAATAAGTTTCATCATCTGAACTTTCTCGTTTAATAATAAATCGTTAACATTGACTATTGGAATTAACTTGTTGAAATACTGAATAATAGTTTTTAAGAATTCTCGCAAAAAGCGACCACAAATTTTTTAAATTTTGTCAGCAGCGTTAAAACCTTACTAGAAATGTTAACCTCAAATTCCTTCTTTCTAATTTGATTTTCTCCATGATTTTCACCTTTTTCAGATAGGTTGACATTGTCTTTAACTCTCTAGATTTCTGTATACTAACCGTTTGGTGTTAATATATTGTGTGCTAGTTCCTGTTATTGATTTCCACAACAGAACTTATAGTAATAGGGTAGCATTGTAGATGTTAAGTTTTCCACTGTTATGCCTGCAGAATCCTTAACAGACTTGGGCGTAATACTGAAAACGTTCAATCTGACGATGTGTAATGAAAACATGATGACTGCTAATATGGATTCATTCGACTGTGGAAAACGAATACATCACTAATTAGATGATTTATCGGATTTTTGTAGACTTAACTGAGTAGTATTTAATAACAATGAATCAATAATTTACTATGTAAACACATATTACAATATTATGCAATTAAGCGTCTATAATTAACAGATATAATTAACTAACCAAGTTATATAATTACTTCTTTAGAGGATGTCACAGACAATTAGAAAAAAAACAATTTCATATGTTGCTTGCACTCCATTAGATTAAATCCTTTTTTGGCATATTCATAGGTTTGTATTGAACTTCAAATACTAAGATTTAATAATTCTTTGCTGTAAGAGAACTGATAGTATGGAATAAAAGTATGATTATTATTTGGCCTCTTAATTAACATGTTAAGAATTTCCATCATTTCAATCAAAATAACTCATATCAGTTGATAAGATTAGATTAGGTTTTGATTTGGATTTATTTTAATACAAAATGATATTTGTACATATATATGGAAAGTGTCAAACTGATAAAGACAGTTACCAGTTACGTGATAAGAATAAAATAGTTTACACAAACAAATGAGCAACAAAATACAAATTCATAATCATGTGACAAGCGGACTGTCAGTAATATAAATGATAATAGCTCAAATAGATGCTCCAACATAGGAAGTAGATCAAAACACTAAAATAATGATTATTAAAAGTTATTAGAATTTTGCTAATATGAACTTTTGAAACAATTTTGGATAGTGTAGAATGTGTATGAAAGAGGAGTGAAGAAAAATAAACGATCAAACGATGTTATTGTATGTTAAGCCTTATGAATCTGAAGGTAACAGATGTGACAAGTTTCTTCTGAGCATTTAGATCAGAGTTGTAGGTTCAAATCCTTGTATTTGTTGTTATATTGATCTAGAATACGAGATTAGATCCAGTTAGGAAATGACGAAGGTTTACGGTAGATTGCTTGAAATGTTTTTGATTTATAGAATAAATGAGCAGTTTCAACCAAGTGTGATAAAACGGAACTATGTATCACCGTTGTCTAACCCTTTCCAAACCACGCAAGGGGTTGTTTACTCATTCGTTAACCAATTTATCTTGTGATATGCTTAATATGGATTTTTCTACAACAGTGAATGAATCCGTGTTTACATAAATGTTAGTTGTATATTAGAGTATTTAATATTTAATGAAAACAACATTGTTTGCTTATGTGTACTGTTCATAATTAACAATCAGATAATCCTTTAATCATACAATCAGATCATATCAGTGTGGCTGTTTCAGTAATGCAAACTATAAAATCAATCGCCATAAACCACTTACATTAATAAAGTTCATACCGCTATCAGCTCAGCCATGGGAAACGTGAAACAGATACTTCCAACAGTTACTTGTTAAAGTTAGAAATGTAATTTATTGGATACTGGCTCATTTGTTCACAGGTTAAAGGAAAACCGCCCGAACTGATGGTCTTCGGTTCGATCTACGGTGGGATTGTAAATAAAAATTGGTTAAATATTTTTACGAATTTCTTATAAATGACTGACATACTTGCCGATATTTTAGGAGGAACGACGTTAGTCTCGCTTAGTTTTTGTTTCTACTTCACACTAAACTTAGTCATCATATCAGTGGAACATTTGACCAAACTAATTAATTTATTATTTAATTATTTGAACACATAAATATTGGTACAAGGGGGCACCAGATATATATGCGCCACTAAACTAATTGAGCCTCTTATCTACGTTATTCTTTTAGAATTAAACAAGATCTAACTGCTCAGGTGATATGATAATCCAAATAATACAAAATGAAGTGTATGTCTTTAAAGCACAAAACGATTACATAATGAATTATATTGTGTTTTACTCTCAGTTCCCTAAAAAAAACATTAAAACATAATGATTAAGACTTAAGAGTTACACACACAACTGAAACCTTACTCTATTTATATTGATTATTAGAACATATACGTTAGTAGAACTCAAGAATACACACACATTCACAAAATACTAGAAGTGAGTCTTATGAATAAACAGACAAATTAGTAGTTACATGATTACTGTGCTGCTTTATTACTATTATTATTACTATGATTACTTAATAGTAGCATATTTTCTTCTTGTCAGTAGAATACACAAAATGAATTTCGACTATTAATATTTCCAAATAATAATCAAGCATCTTTTTTCATGTTGTGTTTTACCTCCACAGGAGTTTCATGAACAATTTAGCAACCTATATAAAACTTTCAAAAATTGAACAACCACGTCAAAGTGTCATGGTAAGTAATATTATTATTATGAATGGCTTTACTCAATTTTATATTTTTGGCACAGAATAGAATTCTCAGCATAAAATATTTCAACAAGTTTCCTCTTCTTATTTCTTGATCGATCCTGACGATAATTATTGAGCGATCATCAGTTAAATGTTGGAAGTTCAGGAATCAATATCTGAATAATGTTCACTTTTCGATGCATATTAACAGCCACCACAATGTCTCTGGTTGTATGTTTTCTTAAATTGCATAGTGAGAGGTCGTAAACTATTCACTAACGCGTCTGAAATATGTTAGACATGATGATGTGTTAAAACAAACGGAAGAACAGATGACTTATTAAAATATCTAGTTGGGAGGAACAGATAACCCAGATATTCAAGCAGACCGCCAAGTATTACAAAGTAGTATATTGTTAAAGAATATTTACATTTTTAAACATATTATCATTTGCTTTAATATTCACACTAACTGATCACTAAGTAAATGGTATTTAAATTTTTGTGTTTGTCCAATCCCTTTTTTAATGTTGATTGAATCTCATGGAGACGAAGTTGCATCAAAACAAATCGAATGTGATGTCAATTAGGTTCTGATTAACGGGATAAATGACTGTCATAAATTGTTCAATGGTAATGTTTCAAACTTCGCCATTTTGTTTAATATCGATTCTAATCCCACGTTAGCATCAATTCCCTTTAGTTTTTTTTTAATTACACCTTGTTTTAAGTGTAAATAATGCTAATAAAGCATGAAACCTAATCAGTTCAGATATTCCTCGCTATCACCTTCAACAATAATCTAATAGAGTAATGTAAAATTAATCTATTTTTTCCATTAAACAAAACAAATGTTGAAGAAAATAACTAGATTACTACTTAGTTCAAAAATAAAATCGTTATTTTTATTCCGAATTTTGTTTAATCTTGATAAGATTGTCAAGAAATATCGAAGTTCCAATTCAGTATTGTGAAAATTTTGTATTTAAGTTAAAGATTTTATTATTAAATTAGTTACATAACAGTGATTTTGGATGAACTGGAAATGATTCAGAATGTATAATATTTTGGTTTTTTATTTTAAAAAGTTTATCGTTAAGTTATGATATCCTATCTTAATATTCAATCTGTATTGTGTAAACCATTTTGAGTATGATTGTTACACGAATATTGTTGTGACCACTGTTCTACTAGTTATATGTGTGATACTAGAAACTATTACAGTTTTGACTATTAAAAACACAAAGTTCAGTGAATGGATTACTTTTCAACGTACCTATTATCAAGCTGCACAATCGTATATAAATAGATATATAGCTTGATGATAGGTTCGTTTCTGAAAACCCTTTCGCTAAAACTCGTATTTTAAATGTTTAAATGGGGATTTCACGATAAAAAATAGGATTACAAAAGCTAGTGCACATGGAGATTTTATTGATTCTTCAAAACACGTTGTGTATGATAAAGAATACACCCATTTATATAAATATTTTTTTATATACGCTTGATAATGAGTTAAAAATTTTACATATAAGGGAAATACTCTGAGACACCGTAAACACATGCTAAATTGCTACGAAAAAGATAAATGTTACACTGAACAAAATTCATACTAAATTAATCCAAGAAATATCGACCATTCCATGACGTCTTATTAGTTACTGGTACGACAGTACATTTTATATTAAATAGAAATGATCGACTTAAATAAATGCATTAAATTTGTCAACTCTGTTTGCAGATTTTTTATTATCCTGGTTTAAGAATCTATAACTTGTGAATATATTTTCTCAAAAAAAGCACATAATACCCTAATGAACCTGTTAATCTCCGTTGATTTTGATGGCTATGATATATGTTACATATAACAAACCACTAACTAATTTAATGATCTCTGTTGGATGGATTGAAAGTAGGTTGTATGAAGTAGTGTTGATTCATGAAGTCACTGACTGTCCGTCTGGATTATGTTAAGCGGTTGAAGTTCTCGCTATGATTGTGATTGTTTGATTGAAATTTAGAGATGATTTAACATTCAAAATTGATTACAATAACTCAAATGTTTTAGTTTTGTATGTTCTTGATTTCTAACTTGTAAAATTGCTTCATACGTTTATCTTACGAATTCATTTCTTTGTTTCGAACCAGTATTATCAATATTTACTCATCCTGATACCAGTATTATGCTAATTTCATTACATCTTTTTGTTTTCATCTCATCGAACTAATGTAGTGTAACAACTCCAACTGGTATACATATGAGTCAGATCCTACATTAATTCTAACTAGTTGATCGACTGAACAACAAAATAATTAATAACTTAAATTTATTAGACATTTATTTCTTCATTTAATGAAGCACAAAAATGAAAGTAGTAAAAAAATACTTGTTAGTCATTGATACAAAAACTGACATAATAATATTGTGACTGCAATGAAATTATATGATTCACTAAATTAATCAGATAATAACCGATCATCATCATCAGTCAGATATAAAAGATATAATTTACATCTCAGACTGATTTTAGGTATACAAACATTGCAGATCAGGAATTTCTGGACATTAATTACCTAGGGATTTCAATCATATCGAATATGGGTCAGTTACGTATTAGTGACACTGGAAGGTGATTGGAGAATATGTTTCCAGTTGATTGAAATTAAACATGTAGACGATTAGATACTGGCTTTGTGATCCAAAGATTGTGTACTCGCTTCAACATTTGATGGTCCTTGATTCAATCCCGGGCAGAGTTGTGTTTATCCACACTTATGTGAAGTCCCATGTTTGAATAAAACAACTGCCCGTACCTTCCTTATTTACAATAGTTATCAACAATCTCCTTAAAACCGTAAAGCAGCACTTTTTAAAGGTGTATCATCAGTCCAACTTGCCACAATAAATTATCAATGGTGAAACTAAATCTGAAGAAAACATGTTTAATAAAGAAGTTTCAAAAACTCATATGTTACTCTGACCGCATTGGTTGTTAGTGTATGAAAAACAAATTGCTGAAAATATGGTTTACTGTTTCTTCATGTATAGTTTTTCAACTGATTATCATTTCAACATCAAGGTGTCCCCTATGTAATATATATATATATATATATATATATATATATATATATATATATATATATATACGGTAATGAAATTGTATGTTTTTACTAAAGAACATCCCCTACAACAAAAAGCGTACACTTAAAGAAATGATAACGATACAATTAATAATGGTGATGAATGACGCATTATGCTTTGGGTGGATTGTGAAATTTGTTTGTTGATGTAGAGTTTAGTATTTGGGGAGTTATGAATCCTTATAAAAGATTGTTGTGGAGACTGTTGAACTTGGCGTTCCACACCATGAAGTGGCTTTGGTTACACAGCTGTTGAAAACAAGAAACTACTAGACAGCTGTTTCATCGTAGTTGGAGACTCCTCAACATTGTGCACCTAAGACCCCACTAACAGTCAAAAGTAAAACCTCCGGGTTACGTGACGCGCCCTTAAGCCTTAGACTAATGAGTTGTCATTGATTGATTTGCATTTCTAACTTCAGTCGACTCATGATATTGCGCGATCATTACATTTGCCTCACACACGATTGAACTAAATTGGAACTCCAGGAATACGTAAGCACATAATAACTGTTATAATTTTATTATTACCAACCAAAGTCAACCCGTAATTTCGAGATTCAGTAATTTGGATTCATTTCAATGTATTAGTTTCCAGTCGTTGAAACTCAGGTTCGAATCCCGTTTCACTTACGTTCCTTTGGGTAGCCAGGTATTATCACTGGCCCTTACTCACACGTAATGTTACTTTAATTCTGTTAATATAAATCTGTACGTGGAAAACTGGTTATTCACTGTTAAGATCACAATAGAACTCTAAACTTAAAATCGATTACTTTCTATACACTTCAAGTAATTTACATAATAACCAACAAAATCGTAGAACAGATGCTTAATATTAGCTTATTTTTTCGGCTTCTCTCACAAACTACACATCCCTCTTTTTTATAGTTGTCCCTACATATGATTGTTCATATAGTTAACATTCTTTGATGGTAGCTTTTTGGCTTCTTACACCTTTACGTAATATATCACTATCAAAGTGTAAAGGATTACAAGTTAGTTGTTTTATAATGTTAGTGACTATTATGGTTGTTATCATAAGTTGACAAGCATGTACATGTTGCAACTTTAAAAGTACATTGAGAAATATTTCCATATCTGTATTTGGTTCACAACACAATAATACTAACTATCAGGAAGTAAATATCAGATGACTATTGCATAGTATACTGAAACTTTGCTGTACTGTCAGCATATTTATTACGTATCATAGTTCAATTTAATTCCAACGTTTCAAGCAGAAATTATTCTTGAAATTATGAATGTTGAGTTTTAGCACATTCACTTATATAATCAAGAATTACAATCGAAATTTAGGTAATAAGAATACCATGGTACTAGCAATATTACTATGTACTTATACATATATATGTATATCTTATGTCTATACTTTACAGTCATCTGAAGTAAGTTTATTTTCGACTTTTGATTGTTGTGTTTCAATTTGTTATTTGTTTATTTGACATGTATCGGTATGTTTTGATGTACGATTGACTTCATTCGTTCATCTATCTATCTATCCACAAATTTATCTATCTATTCATTATTTGTATGTGTACATCTGTTGTTTTATCATGGTGAATAGGCATGCGTTACACTCCATTTCTGTCATTACTATCAGGTCATTGTTCGTCAGATATGCAATTTTATTCTGATGTCTCTCACTGTAAATGTCTATATTTACTTGTATAAATATACCTATACTTAGATTTTAATTGTTTCATTAAATGTTAACCACAGGCATTGTATGAACTGTTTCACTAAAGAGCTCTAAAAATTTGGCTAGTATGAATATTCCCATTGGCTAATGAAGTTTACACATTATTTATGAATGTCATTATTATCAGAATTATTATTATTAGCAGTAGTATTATCCTATTCTGTTGAGCTTTACCATAACACATAATGCATTTGGTGTATAAAATGTAACTGTCCCCCCCCATTTCCACATCTTCTTGTTTATGACCCACTATTCCATGGTGATGCATGAATCATCATTTTCCTATTCTTGCACAATTTCATTAACATGACCTCATTTCATTCGCGTACAACTCATATTATTGGCATATATTGTCTGCAAAATCTCACCTTTTATCATACAGCGGTTATTCAAATTTTTCCCCTTACTAATTTATTTTAGCGTCGGAAGGATTGATTGGTTATTAGCTTAGTTTATTTGTTTGAGCAGTACTTGTTCATTATTAGTCTGGATATTTTGTCTAAATCTTCTTTCCTTTTTCTTCGACATAAAACCCGTTTTCTTGTGCAGTTTGTTACACTGTATTTCGTTGTATGTCATTGTTTTCTGAACAGTATTATCACTAATTTTATTATAGTCAACAGATAAATATTTGGATTATTAACCCGTAAATGTTTAAAATCTCCCCCCATAACTCTTGGCGACCAATAAGGTTCATGAGTAAATGTTGGGCTTTGTCATTTTCATTATTTAGGCAAACTATTATGGATGGCTTAACTCGTTCTGTGTTTCTGCTTGTTTGTTGTATTGCTTCATTATGTCTTTGAAGTCCCTGTCTTCTCCAATCTCAATTAATTTTCTCGTGTATGTAGTGTTTGAAGTTGACGCTGTTTTATTTTTTCAACTAAAACAATAGAATAGTCGTAAAGATAACACTTGAAATGAATATTTTGTTTAAAAAATATTGAATATATTCTTGATTTGCTCACTAAATGAACACAGAGTGTATATGATACAACATGCTTTTTTGTACATACCAATACGTGTTGGATAACCTCAATAAGGATAAGTAAGTAGATGGGTTTATAATAAAAACAATTTTGTATTGGAATGTCAATCATTGTTTTTTAACTTTATTTTATGTAATGTAATTGTTAGAAATTATCTTCTAACAAACTTCATAAACATGAGCCTGTTATCATACATTAAGTGTTTCCATTGACATTTGCTTTTTGTATAAAATATAATTGAAAAATGAAAATCAGTCGAAAACTAGTTAAAACTGTCGAATCAATTTTTGGGAGATTCGCTAAACATCTGTTTAGTCCTAGTATGGGACTCCCTAAACGTGGACAGCCAAGACGCTGTTAGCAATCAGATCAAGAACCTCTAGGTCTCGCGGCGAATGTTTAACGACTAAAACTACGGCTAGACTCTAATTTAGCGACGACCTTTGAACGAATTTTAAGTGACCTTGAGAATATTAGCCAATCAGAAGACAGTTAGTATGAAGTAAAAATATATCAGAGGAAACTAAAGAATTACAGTGGATATACTTCTTTTACATGATTTAAAAACTTGTTAAGATTGGATAAAGGTTCAGATGTTTTGAAATCATATTGCATACGGTAAAAAAATTCGTCCATATGGCCTCTGGAGCCGTGATATGGTCTGAAAAAGTCCTTCAATCGTGACTACATGGCTTCAATGTTATTCGTATGAACGCCGGTTGTTGGGTCAACAAAATAACGTTTGTGGACTACCGTTTCGTCTATCTCTACGATACGTCATACTCCTCCAAATGATTGCTGTATACTTGTCAATTCAACTGCGCATATGTCACGGCAGTATTCATACCACTGGACTGCTGAGGTTTCAGTAACATCTGCGAATGCCGCAGCCAGTGTTACTGGTGTCTTTATAACCCAATTTGCAACCATTATCATTATTTGTCTCAATCTCAGTCACGACCGAGCAAAGAAAGTCCCCGTTCTAGTAGACTTTGTCCTCCAACATGAAGGACAACGGAATATAATCTCGCCGTTGTGGTCTGAAGACTTTACTGCAGTCATTTCAGAACCGCAGTCACACGTACAAGAACTTCGTAGTAGTCCCATCTCTTGTCGCCTCTCAATAATAACCTCTTGATAGGATGGAGTTTGGATCCATTACCGGGCATGTTTCTGGAGTGGGGAGTACTGGATCACCGGGCGGATCTTGAGTGACAGTTGTTTCGTTTGAAGTACGGGTTATCGAGGATTCATCGAGGCTGCAATCATTATCCAGTTCAGTGTGCAGTTGAGAAATCAATTCATCCACTTCCGTCGCATCACCAAAGCATGAGTGATTCAGTAGCTGCGTGCGTAAATTGACTAATAAGTTCAAGTGTCGCTCGAATAGCAGCTGTAATCGATCGGAAGGGAGAGTCATTTTTTTCTTTTTACCCCGTCGCCAATTGTTATGGTTGAAAACTGAGCTATCAACGGAAGAGGATTTCGGTGCTACACTATTAGCGAATGCCGTTCGAGCAATGCCTGTTACCGCTGAAGATGTTCGGGAAGCTACCAGAAAAGACCCGATTATTCAAGAAGCGATCACCTATGTTCAGAGCGGATGGTCAGTTAAGCAGCTGAGTGGTGATATGCAACAACTAGCAAGTCGTCGCAGTGCCCTCTGTATTGTCAACGATTGTCTGATCTTCGGTTATCGCGTAGTAATTCCAACAACTCTACGTTTCAAGGTCCTACGCCAATTTCACTCTGGACACCCAGGAATAAACCGTATGAAATCCATCGCTCGCAGCTATGCATATTGGCCGAACATGGACAAGCAGATTGTCGACTTCGTCAAAGGATGTTCTTATTGTCAAACAGCTGCGAAAAATCCCCCTAAGTTGCCTCCAGTACCCTGGTCAAAGTCAGAAAAACCCTGGTCGCGAGTACATATTGACTTCATCGGACCCCTAGATGGTGCCACATATCTGATACTGGTTGATTCTTTCTCCAAATGGCCGGAGATATTGCCGATTGTGCCACCCTCTACAACTCGAACCATCAAACTCCTTAATCAGATCTTCTCTCAGCATGGTCTTCCAGAAACAATAGTAACAGACAACGGTTCACAGTTCACATCCAGTCAATTCCGAGAATTTTGCCTTCAAAACTCAATCAACTATGTCCGTTCTCCGCCATATCACCTGCAATCTAATGGACAAGCTGAAAGGTTCGTTGCTACATTTAAAAGAGCCATGCTTAAAGCACGAGGGGAGGGGATCACAGAAGATATCATACAACGATTTCTAATGGTGTATCGGACGACCCCACATAACTTATTGCCAAACTTCAAATCCCCCGCTGAGATGCTTATGAGGCGAAAGCTACGGACAGTTCATGGTGCGATGACACCCAAGCAAGTGGCTCAGCAAAGCTCTCAGATGAAGTATACTAGAATTCCTTACAAAGTTGGTACAAAAGTGTATGCGCGGGATTATAGACACGGGTGCGATAGATGGGTAGAGGGTGAAATCACAAAGAAACTTGGGGACGTCATGTATGATGTCAAAGTGAACCAAGAAATCTGGGCCGGACACCATAATCAGCTAAGGCCAAGAGAAGCTAAGGAGAAAGAAGCAATTACGAAACGCATCCCACTCGACTTGCTGTTGGATACTTTTCAACTTCCGCCAATACCTCCAACAGAGACGACTAAGTCATCTACTCAAATAGAACATCCTTCTGGTTCTGGGTGGTTACCTCGGAGGTCAAATCGCAAACGAAGACACCCAAAGAAATTTCAAGTTAACCCTCGGTTACGTCGCTACTAACTCTTCCTAAGGGAGGTGATAGGATGGGAAGAAAAAAATCAATATTCGATTGATTCACTCAATCTGAGTTTTATTCATCATCACATCCTTTTAGATTCAATGTAATAATTACTCAATGTAGTAATTGTTTTCTTTTCTCGCATGGTATTTTAATAATACACAATACTCTTGTATTTCATTGACTATGAACTATACTTAGCATATAATTTCTTATCACTGTGAGTATTTTTCATGTGTGTGATTTTATTCTAATTATTAATCAAAACGGGTGTACAATCAATATATAAACGAGTATGTTTTCTACTAGGCACTTTTCTCTGGTTGCTGCAGAATACACTTCTCATTCCGAGCTTGGACTTCTCCCTCTAGATAGCGGGGCTGGGGCGCAGCAATAGCTAACTCACTGGTCATTGGTCACCGAACCTCGTTCTCGTACGCAGACTACGTGAACCCGTGATAGCTCAGTTAAAAACCCTAACACCTCTTCTCTAAAATCCGATGTAAACCGATCGTACGTGAGCGTCATGCGTTAAACTTGGCTCCGTGACCTTGAACTGGCTCAAACGCTTCTGATTGGCTCGTCCTTAAATTGGAGTCTCGCCAAAACTACTCTTAAAAAGTCTCATACAAGGGTGGAATAGCTGTCCATTCCTACCTAGTTTGAATGGGTAGGCAAACTGAGATCAATCAGTGATGACAACAACTTATTAATTAGACATGTGGTCAATTGTAATCACGAATTTTGAATCCCGTATTTGCTCCTAAGCGTTTAGAATGCATTACCCTGAATGGTTATTCCTATCATCATAAAATATATATCATTATGCACTTTTAAAGGTATTAACACTTACTTATGTATTGGAATTTACCTGAAACATATCTAA